CCTTCAAAGTGTCTTTGGTTGTTCACTCAAAAATCGGAGCACCTAAATTCATCAGTAATGTATTTAAAGCTTGGCTATATCTGGCACATCGCCAGCTTGTCACATTACCACATGCAACGGATAATTAACATCTAAGTCAAATTAAGGTGCCCAAAGTTTTAAAATCTGACAGCTCTCTGGCACTTGAAGTGGGTGCCAGCAGGAGTCAGGGTGGCCTCATATGCTCTCAGCGGTGATGCTGCAGCAGCCAGCCAGGTAGAAACTGTTCACAAAAGAGACCGAGGCTTTTTCTACACACTGAAATTGCACAAGTTTAACTTAAACCAGTTTTTAAACATTTACTTAAACCAGTGCAAAACCCTGGTTAGACACACTCAGATCAGTTTAAGGGTAGCTTATTTTGATTTAGTTTACACCTGTTCCTAATCAACTTAAGATAAATCAAAGTAAACCAGGTTTACATTGGTTGAAGTGTGTCCACACACCAGTTTTAACTGAGTCCATTTTAAATCACACCTTTAGTTAAATCGGCACAGTCCTGCATGTAGACAAGCCCAGATATCTGTTGGTGGCACTTACCATGGAAAAGGAAACTTTCTTCTGTGGGAACAGTCTATTCTGTGGAAGAGGCTGGAAAATTAAGAAATGGAGGACTCTGCGCCAAAAAAATAAGAATAAGGCAGCTGACTAAGCAGAGGCTATGAGAGTACCTCTGGGCAGCAACTCGGGGGGGGAGGGGGTCTTGGCTGACTCAGATTGAAAATGAGAATATAAGAGGCTACATCTGGTTTAGGGCAGGGATGTCCAATCTTCAGCCCAGCAGAGCATTTCATAAGGCCTGTGGCCTGCTTCAACACAATATACTAACAGCCGATTCATTAGCATTTTGTCATCATGTTTACATCATTTTAGTTTACACAAGTCTGCAAGTAAACAGTACTATACAAAGAAACAACCTATCTAAATACATACAAAACAAACTGAACTTAAAACATAAATCAGTAAAAGTGGAGGAATGGCTCAGTGGTTTGAGCACTGGCCTGCTAAACCCAGGGTTGTGAGTTCAATTCTTGAGGGGGCCATTCAAGGATCTGGAGCAAAAATCTGTCTGGGGATTAGCCCTGCTTTAAGCAGGGGGTTGGACTAGATGACCTGAGGTCCCTTCCAACCCTGATTTCTATGATTAACTAAAATATGTAGAATCTGTTTGGCCCACACAAGGTTGTGCTTAGGTATGGCCCTCTTGTGTAGTATGGTTAGGCACCACTGCCTGCGGGAGACTTGACAGGTCAGAGAAGCCACACCATGAAAGAGTGCCCAGAAAGCGTTATTTAGCCAAGTCTTCTTCAGCACACATGCAGCTTAACTTTTACTTTTCCGCACTACCATCCACCTTCTCCCACTGGCCCAGCTAAACACCAAGCACCGCTGAAATCCACTTTATGCTTCCTGATGCTATCATACTCCCCAAAGCCCAGAAAAAAGGTTCAAGTCACTCCCACCTCCCTTCACCCCAATCAAGGACACAGTCAGACAGTTAAGTGGCAGTCTATTGGTATGTGCAAAGTTACTCTCTACAGACAGGGCCGGCTCCAGGCACCAGCCAACCAAGCACATGCTTGGGGCGGCACCTGGTAAGGGGCAGCCAATCTTGGGGTGGCGGGGGGCAGCGTGGCGCGGCATTCCG